GGGGGGGGGGGGGGGGGGGGGGGGGGGGGGGGGGGGGGGGGGGGCGCAGAGTTGGGCTGCTCTTACCTGCAGCCATCTTAGAGACTCCGTGAGACCAGCTTTCGTCGACCTCGGGCCAGGCACGCTGGGCCTGACGCACTATATGCACTGCCTTTGGGAGTGAGCTTGCCCCATGCCCACACGGACCCCGTTCTCGTGAGGCTTCCTGGGTAGATTCAGCAGGAGTGGCCCGGTCCCAGTCCTCTCCTTCCCCTGTCTTGGCATCAGTTGTTTTCTATGAAAACAGTGGGTTGGTTTTGTGCAGGGTCTTGGGTTAGAACCACAATGGATTTGAGGAGTTTTTCTTTTGATTTTGTATATTTTGTACATTAATAATAAACAGTGGAAAGAGAAGCAGCTCATTTAACCCCGGGTGTGTTTTGACTTGCTTCCTTTAGTAAGAAAAGTTGGGACTGTAGAGCTGCGGTGCTGTAGAGCACTTGGAGAAGATGCAAATGTAACTTTAGGTCTGGGGAAATGAGTCAGGCCAGACAGGGAGAAACCTCAATTGAGAGGGTGCAGACCTTTTTCCTTTTTAAACCAGAAGAGGGCATCAGACCCCAGTATAGTCTGGCTGCGGCCTACCATGTGGTTGCTGGGAATTGAACTCACCACCTCTGGAACTGAGCCATCTCTCCAGCCCAGAACATTTCCTTAATTAGTGAATAACCGCCCATTGTGGGTGGTGGTTTTGGGTTCTTCAAGAGGGCAGGCTGAGCAAGCCAGTCAACACCGCTCTGTGGCCTTTGCTTCAGCTCCTATTCCAGGTTCCTAACCTGGGCTCCTGTCCTGACTTCCTTCACTTGATGGACGAGGTGTGAGTGGAAGACAAACCCTCCTTCCTCCAGCTCCTCTTAGTCCTGCTGTTTTCACCACAGCAACAGAAACACCAAATAGAACCACCTGCCCCTTTTCTGACCTCCACAGGCACCAGGCATTTGTGTGGTGCACCTACAAGTAGGCCAGTCACAGACATAACATCTAAAAAGGAGGAAGCTGGCCAGTGTCTGCTTTGCCAAGCAGAGCTCCACCGGGGAAGGCAGAGTGGCCCACAACTGTCCTGACCTTCGGACACTTGCTGTGGCACACATACGGAATAAAAACAATAAAAACGTATGAGTCAGGATTTATATATCTTTAATTTCAGCATGCAGGAGGCAGAAGAGTTCTCCAGGATGACTAGCTGATAGAGCAGAAGACTTCGGGGCATCCAGACTTGGGGAAGGAGGAGAAGCGGGGCGTAAGCAGCAGAGTATGATGTTCTTCAGAACCATCCAAGGCAGGATGAGAGCCACGCAGGGCTGGTGGGGTCCTAACGCCCACTCCTACCACGCTGCAGGTGTCTTGCTATTCCTAGCATGGCTACAGGGCAGTGACCCTCCAGCCCTCTCCTACCCAGGGGGAACAGCCAGCCTGTGGCCACAGCTTACCCTGGGCCTCTTCAGGGCTCCATTATGTCATTTCCTTCCTGTCTCCTACAAGCCCCAGACCCTTTAAAGAAAGCTCAATGTTTTACCCACATTTTAACTTTAGGATCAAGGGGCACAATGGCTCAGAGGTTGCGTGCCTGCTTCTGTTCCACAGGACTAGATTCTGTTCTCAGCACCCACAGTCAGGTGGCTCACAACTGCCTGGGATTCCAGCTCCAGAGAAGCCGGCTTCTCTTCTAACTTTGTTTCTTTCCCCCCCCCCCCCCCCCCCCCCCCACATACTCTCAGACAGATACATAAAAACTAGGAATTCCAACTAAAGAATCTGGGTGTGGCCACACATATAACTCCAGAAATGTGTGGCTAGATGTGGGTGCGCGCGCACCCACACCCACCCACACACACACACACACACACACACACACACACACACACACACACAC